ACGACACTCTTCCGATCTGTTTTTATGACTTTTATTTGTATTTCTGATTTTAGTTTGTTGTAAGCCGCCCAGAGTCACCCGTTGTTGGGAGATGGGCGGGGACAAGTCAATTAAATTAAATTAAATTAAATTAAATAAATAAATAAATAAATAAATAAATAAATAAATATAGACAAAATTAATTGAGTGTTGTGTCCCCCATCTTAGTAAAAGGGTTGTGGACGTTGGTTGGATCTCAGGAGTGCAACTCATTTGTGCTTGCTGTTGGGCTGCATATTTTCTATTAACTTGTAATAATAAGACTTAGCTACTGAATCAGAGCATTACAGTTCCCATATACAGATAATGTGTAAAACGGTAAAGAAGCTTTCTCAATCCAAGCAACCTACAGTTTCAGAATCAGAAATGTACTGAGGGGATAAATCTGAAGAGGGGATAAATCTGAAACAACTAACTATGTACATAGTTAGCTTTATTTAAATGTCTCTTCACCTTTTTGGAGCAAATCCCTTGGAATTACCCCTCTAGGTAACCTTCTCAGCGCTGCCACCGACAGTCAATTGATTTCAAATCCAGAATGTTTCCTGCTGGCTTATGACTTCAGAGGGCATTGCCTCATTTTCAGATACGGATGCTCAATCATTATTTTCAGGGCACAGGTCTTGGGGACGTGGAATGAGTTTTGAATGTAATTTACTACCTTCTCTTCATTTTCCCTAATAGTAGCAAAACAAATACTTTCCCTGAAGGTAGAGCCTTCTTTCAACTATTAAGGCTATGAAACGCCAAGTATCTTTTTAAAAAAAAATGTATCAATAAATAATATGACCAGAGGCATTACTTCATGGTTCTCTCAGAATTGTGCTGCTTGGCTGAAAATTACATGACAGTCCACTCTCATTCAATGAAAAGGAGTGCTAGAGGGCTTGTTTTAATGGATAATACACATTTGGATTATGTCTGACCTTTATGCTCTGTTGATTTACATATACTAATAAGCCTTAAGGGTATGAAATTCATTAAGTTCAGGTTGGCATTTCTAAAATCTCTGACCTTTCTTGAAACATAAAATAAAATGCTTGTGGGTTTTGCCAAAGTTTTATTGTCTTTTAAGATTCATTTAAGAATCTTGCAAAATATATAGCAAGCTTGCCCTTTGGTTATTAGAAATTTTAACTGGCACAACAGTATCTTTCTGTTTAAACTGTTGGTAAATTTGCTCCCAAACCAGTCTTCCCCAGCCAATTATTTGTAGAGTATTTGGTGTTCTCCAAGTAAATTAGAACTATAGTTTTGATGCTGTCTGGGAAGTTTTTTTTAAAAAATACTTTTTATTAGAGTTTTGCAATGCTAAAAGATAATACAAACTGAAATCAGAAAGAAAAGAATAGAAAAAAAGAAACAAAAAGTGCAAAAAAGGAGATAGAAAAAAAGAATATTTAAAGAAGTTACTCCCAATCTTCCTTGCAACAAGTACAGGCAAATTAATAGTTCCCCACCCCCTATGAAATTACATACATGGTTCACTTTTTCCTATTGCCCCCCACTCCATTCACAATCCAAAAATTGTTGTCATTTCTGTCCAAATGTCGGCAAAAAGTCCATAAAGGGTTTCCAGAATTTTATAAAAATATTCCATATTTTAACCCTGGTCAAACAAGTCAACTTTAAATTCCTTTCTTTTGCTTCTAACAACTGTATTCTTTAGTTCATCAAGCTGCTGTTGTAAAATTGAATCTCCATGCATACTTTCTTTCTCCCATCTCAAATACTTTTTCAAGGTTTTAGAAACCTTTTGTAAATCCAAAAATAAGTCCTTGTCCAGGTCCTTTTTCATGTCTTGATTTGTCATTTGTATTTCCATCCTGTCATCTCTATCTTATAATCCTCCATTTCTTTATTTTTCAATATTTCTCCATCAGCTAAGATTTGTATCACCTCTTCATCCTGTCTGTCCATAAATTCTTCCATATTTTTGTCTGTCACATCTTTATAAACTTCTTCAAGAAATACATTTACAGGTGCAGAGATTATTGCTGTCAGATTTGTTATACGTTTCTCACCCAGTTCTTCAAAAATCAAGTAGAGAATGCATTATTTCCATCATAGGAATGTTTCCAAAAATAGTTTCCCTATAGTTTTGGAAATAACATGCATTGTGAAATAGGGTCACTGAATTATACATTTCCACATTGTGTTCTGGAAAACAGAAATGATTGGATTGATCCAAATGTGTTGGAGACACTTGCTGGTAATGTGAAAGATGTTTAAATACAATATGTCTTCTAAGAGGTCTACAGCTTACAATCAAGAAGACCAGCTAAGATCTCCCTCTCTTTCTCTGTAGACTAATCAAGACAAGTCCTGAATTGGTGGAGTCTTGCACATGGTTTCCAGAATCCTATGTGATTTATCCAACCAATTTGAAGACACCAGTAGCTCCAGCAGAGAATGGGCTTCATCACCTGATACACAACTCAAGAACAGATGAAAGGGAAGTCTTCTTGTCATCCTATCAGAAGAGGAAAGAGAGTGGAGAAGGAAACGTGTGGATAGCCAAATCTTCAGCAGGAGCCAAAGGTTAACTTCTGGCAAAGACTCTGAAATGCATTACTTTTATTTGTGTAGCTTTTTATTTATCCAAGAGAAGCTAGGGAGCCATAGAGTATTAAAAAACTGGCTTATTAATAAAGAAGGTCCCCTGCTCAAATTCCAACTTTGCTATTCAATCACTGCTTGGCTTTGATCAAGCCACCTTCTCCTGGGCTCCATGGTGGGTTTGTACTTTGTGCTAAGCCACAGTGTGGTGTGTGCTAAGCCACAACCTAGTGTGTTGGTGTGAACTCAACTGTTGTATTTTGTCAAAGTTTTGGGCTTATTGGAATACATAAACTCAGCCATTGTGGCTTATTTGATAAACCATGGGTAAAATAAATCATGACATAATGTGATATGCAAAGTCAGCCAGAATTGTGTACTGGGAGGCAGGCATAGATTTGATTAAAATTGATAGAGAAAATTAACAGAATCTGGAAAAAGACTCTGATACTAAAGCCAGCTTAAAGTGGTTTCCTTCCCTGATGTCAAATGTTATGCAGTAGCTTTCTTTGACTTGATGTCTTACAGATCTGTTGAGACCATAACTCCACTGAGAAAGATAGCTGCGTGAGAAAAGAACTAAGCAAGCCTGCTTTTTGGGGCCCAGTAACTGCAGCCAAAGCTTTACTACTATACCTGGGGCCTAGAAAATTGCTGGTGATGTCTGGAAATACTTGAAATGCAAAATGCTTACTTTCTTTTTGGCTGAGAAGTCAACTGCGGAACAAAAGCTGCCAAGTTTAACCCTGTTATGGTCATATTCTATAGAGTCTGTATATCAGCAACCATGGTTGTGGTGCTTCATATACAGCTTGATAGAATTTCTTTTGATGGCTTATATGGCTGTCTTCCATATCCAAGGTTATAGGTTAAACTCCAAAATATTAAGCTCCATATTTTGAGATACAATTCTAAGACTGTTAGGGTTGAAGAAGTGTTGATATTTTTTTTTTAGTGATCCTCCTGTCCAACTTCTTAACTGTTTTTTTTTGGTCTAGGTGAAGGAATTCTTATTTCTTCGGAGGCTACTGAACTTCTGGACTTTATAGATAATCAAGGACAAGTGCACGTGATTCAGAAATATCTGGAGAAGCCTATGCTCTTAGAACCAGGTCATCGCAAATTTGATATTAGGTAACAATTTCCTTTTTAAAAAATATTTTGCATCTAAGATGCTTCTCATTAATTTTCTGTCAATTTAGATTTGTTTAGTAGCATCTCAAATGCAGTGGATATGTGTATTTCTATTGCCTTTTTTTTTAGTTTGATGTAAATATTGATTTTTTATTCACTTTAATTACCGCACATTATTGAATACTTGTTATTAAATCTGATTCTTCTGATTTGGAATCTTGATACCTGATTTTTTTAAAAAAAACCTATATAATGTGTCTTCTTTCTAACTTTTAGAAGTTGGGTCCTAGTGGATCACCAATATAGTATCTACCTCTATAGAGAAGGCGTTTTACGGACCTCTTCGGAACCTTACAATAGTGCTAATTTCCTGGACAAAACCTGTCATTTGACCAATCACTGCATACAGAAGGAATATTCTAAAAACTATGGAAGATATGAAGAAGGGAATGAAATGTTTTTTGAAGAGTTTAATCGGTATCTGATGAATGCTTTGAACGTTACTTTGGAAAATACAATCTTACTGCAAGTCAAAAATATAATAAGGTAATATGTTTGTCTTTTATTTTTCATCCCAGCCTACCTCCAGGAAGCAAAACCCAGCATTCTTTGCACTGTTGTTATTCATATTTTATCTGCACTATAGCAGCCTGAGAGCAGAGGCTAGGAGGAACTATATGGCCAAAGACATCACATGTGCTCTCTATAGCTGTGTGAAGTCTCCCTTGGAATTTGAATTGTGAATGTGTCAGAGAGTGGGGAAAAGGGACAGGAACTTTCCAGACACACACACACAGAGTTTTTCTCTATTTACAGTGATATTTAATATATGCAGGGGCTTTAGCTGCTGTTTCACTCCCTCCCTTTCTTGACACACAGAGTATCAGCAGTCCCTGCTAACCAAAAACAACTCTAGGAATATCTAACAATTTCTTCCTCCATTACTTAATGTTTCTGCCTTTTCTATGTTTATAGTTGTAAAGAAGCTTTCATTAGGCACAAAGCTACTGAGCCTGCTTTCAGGAAAAAAACTTTAATGTGCATCATTAGGATGACTTATATCATCCTAAGTCCATCACCCTGCCACAGAATGCTGCTTGCAAGTTTGTGCTAAAAGTAGGAAGTTTAAAAATGTAATTCTGAGTTCCTAAAATAAAATTCAATTTGTTTGTAGCAAGTTCTAGACAATTCTAGAAGGGAAATTAGGTTACCTTAGCTGTCTGTCTAAAGAAAACCCTCCATTGACAGCTTCATTGTAAGTTAAAGTTTTGCCTAATTTTGGACAGGGTAGATTTTAGGTGTTGAAAACAAAATCATTTAAAATCCAACTTGTTGGGCTCCAGATATGCTGGACCTCAACTTCCGTAATTTCCCAACACCTTGGCCAGTACAGTTATACGGAGTGAAATCCAAAACACCTGGGAAACGGGTTGGGGAAAACTGCCATAAATACTTAACTGTTCACACAACATATTGAGTAAAAACTAAACAAACTACATTGTAGATTTAATGCAATGTCTGAACCCATTCAGTGAGTACATTGTGCCACCTAATCCTTCTCAATGCCTTAACTGTTATTTTAGGCAAAGATACTGTCAGGCTTAGCCCAAAGAACTCCTGGAGACCATGCAGGTTCAATCAGCAAGGTTTATTTGCCAGCACCTGTTTAC